GCATGGGACGAAGAGGAGGCAAGTGGGGAAAACAAGGAGGAAACAGGGGAGGAACCCTTGGGCGACGCCCAGGCCTAGGCTGCGCCTCTTGGGCAACGCCTAGGGGCTTGGGTGACCCCCTTGGGTGGTGCCCCTGGTTCCACATATGGGCGGCGCACCTTTGGTGTCCCTACTGCTTTTGGCTTCTTGATATCTCTTGGGTGGTAGCATGTGGGGCTCTTTTCTAGGTATGGATTACTCGGGCTTCTTGATTTATTTTTATTAGATTTGGCCCAATCAAATTCTGGCTCATCAAATGTCATTATTCTGCTTCATATTGCGGGTTCATGACTCTTTGTTTTGGTTGATAAATTTATATCCAAGGCTTCTATTGAACATGGTAATGATATGACTCTTTCCTATATCTAGGAAAGAAATCGGTCTCTCTATCTGCTAATCAAACACTTTGGAAAATATGGTGATGCTATTTTTTATAGTTGATTGCGAGCCACAAATAATGAGACTATTGATCCCACTGCATTAAGATATGCAAAAGCCATAAACATTCAAGGAATACAAAATACAGACCCATAACTGGAAACTCAGGGAATAGTTTGTTGACTCTCTCAGCAAATTCATCGAACTGAAAGATGCCATTGGTGCAAAGGTACCGACCAGAAGCTGTAGGAGAATCTAGGAAATCTCAACCTAATGCCTATTTCAAAAAATTTCAGCAAAATTTTCTCTATAAATAAGAGGGCGTGTAAAATCTTCTCTTCCTATGTTCTTCAATTTTAGAAATTTCATTCATTTAATTACAAAATGAGATTTTAGTCAATCAAATTCTGCCACGTTACATATAACAACCCCTCCACCCTAAACAACTGCTCGTTTAAATTTTTAAAACTTTGGTTGTTTCATCCCACAATTTAATTTAATTCCTATCCAATATTTCAAATGATGGGGATACTAATACATTTTTTCTAAAATTGTTTTGTGCATTGCATGGGTCCGATACTAATACATTTTCCCCTTATTTGGTTCACCTACACTTTTATATTTAAAATATTTTCCTTTAACCATAACCGTAGAAATACCTCGCTAAGAGTATAAAAAGAGGAAGTTTTAAGCGTATGGAAGGAGTTAGATCAGGCCGAATAGCATGCGAATCATGTTGGAGCGAGTGCGAATACACATATATGAATAAAGCATAGGGAACATTAATGGTTAGATGTGAAATGCTTGAATGCAATTATAATTATATGTGTGGTAGGTTTAGAGACATCTACGTCAATGAACATCTCGCTAAAAGGCCCAGTGGAGGGATCAACTTCGAGGTAGACTCCAACTTCAAGGTAAATGCTTAACCTTACACTTCTTTATACCACTTGTTGGTTGTTGAATTTGATTATTGATTATTGGTTGAGCTTGTGATAATTTGCCTATGTGGTTGTAATTTGCCTGTGTGACAGACATGCACAGCGCTAGTGTGGCGTAGTGGAATTTCGAGAGGTGTTATAGCCGTGTTAACACTTATTCTTATGGGAAGTTGTTAAATTCTAACTAAGAATGTATTTCTTTAATTTTTGAAATATGCTTGTGTTAATCCTGTTACGTTCATGTGTTTACTGAAAATTCTTAAATACTTTTTCAAGAATTAATTGTGACGTGAGATGAAACCAAAATTTTAACGCGAGGGGGCCAAACCCTATGTAAATAAACTCATACCAACAACATTAATTATGTTTATACTTCATAGATTCGAATTTATGTTACATATCATATATAAAACAAATAAATGTACTGAATATAAACATAAAGAAATGAACAAAGTGAATAGTTGTTTTATTAAATGTGTTCTTGATCGTCTATCAAAATAATGCTCAACGTTTTTTTCTATCTCATATTTTCTTAATTGTTGAATTTGTACCAATTTTTTCAACAATTTTTTTTTGATGTACATAATAAAATATTTGTGAGAAAATCATCCTCCATCTTGTTTTGAAACTTAGTTTTGAAAATATTCCTAGTCAAAAAGCACAATTTGAAGTTGAAGTTAAAAAATATACTGAAAACAAAAATGGTAGACTTTTTTGATATATCAAATGAATATTTTTGAAAAATTTGGGGGCTAGTCCCCCTTTTGTGAATTTATTTGGACTAAAGTCCACTCAAAAAACTTGTTTGAGAATAAGTTCATTTTAATCTCGTTTGTCTGAATTATTTTCAGTAGCTATATTTATTTAAAACAATATTAAAAAATAACAAGTCCAAAATTTTTCTTATATCTTAAAATTCTCTCTCTCTCTCTCTTATATGTCTATATCCATATATAAATTAGGATTATTTCTCTCTCTCTCTCATATATATATAAACAAATTATTGCTCGTGTCTGAAGGCACTTTAACACAAACAACTCCCCAAGCAAAAGAGGTGTCTAAGAATGCCTGAAAAGAAGTTCGGGTGTTGAAATGAAGAAGAATAATCATGCGACATTAACATAATCCAAGAATCCTCATGAACTCAAACTAAAACCAATACAAACTTATGCTGCCATAAACATAAAACATTTGAGTGAAAGAAGAGAGAGAGAGAGAGAGAGAGAGAGAGAAAGAATTTCAACAAAATTTCTCCTAAAAATAGGACCCTAGAAATAACGAACTTATTATCACACTATAGTTCAGTCTTAACAATAGGAATTCAATTCAAATCCAATATATTCAATACATTCATACCAATGCTTTGCTTGGAGTGTGCCAAAATGAAGTGTTGTCGGGCAAAAATGATTAGGGATTGCAGATTTGAAGATTTACCTAGAAAAGAGATCGAAAGAAAAAGAATGGTAATTTGGTAGAAGTTGGAACTCGGATAAAAAATCAAATTTGCGAATCAGAAAAGAAAGACAAAAATATCCAAGCAAATATTGCAATGAACTAATGACTAAGAAGAAAAAATCAATGAAAAACAAAAATGACGAACTTTCTTGTTGTAAAGAGAGGAATTGCGATACATATACCTTTTTTGCCGTGTGTGATACACTATACTTGGTTTCTACTTATTGTGCTTGTGAGAATCCGGAAAGCATCAACCGCAGCAACTGTCAAGGCACCAACAACAAAGCCAACAAAAATTGTCAATGATAACATTAAACAGAACCAAATTAAAATATAACAAAAATTAAACTATACCTAGATGTCCGAACCAACGACGGACTGGTTTCGGCAAACATCACACTTCAACATACCTCTTACACCCAAAACCAAAAAAAAAAAAAGAACCATAGATGCACATACATATGGAAAAAATCTAACCTCAACTGAAAGCACTAACCCAAAACAAAATATTGCTTAATAAACTAATAACACTCCCGAACAAACCCAAATAAAAAACAATAGGTTATTTATTTTTCTGAAAAAATGACCAATATGAAAATTAATTGGTACTGACATTTTCGCAAACACTTAGAAGCACATCACTTCAAGAGCAGATATGAAATAATCACCGCCTACAAAAATACTAAATCAGCAGCCAACAGATACCCACCAACTTTTTCATTTATTTTACTTTTAAACCTGATTGTTGACACATAGAATTTTAGGTTATATCATGTGGTATAGCAATCAAACACCATAATGGCCCTAATTTATCTAAATTCACCCCCTAAAAATGAATAAGGTGCAAATTTTTATTTAGACGTTCGAATCACTTTATCAAAGGAGAGCAAATGTGAATTCACATTAATCCATCAAGTGGTAGAGACGGAAAATAAAAACCAAACTACACAAAATAAAACCAAAATTAATGGAAACAAACCGCTCTTTGATGCAATCCACACAGAAGAACCATTTTTGGCAACTTAAACAATTAATCAAGCTTTAGGAATTATTTTTCCTGCAGTATCCTAAACAAAAGACAAATACTTCCCCAACCATTGGTAAAAAAAAGACAGCCTGCGATGTACCAATAGGAATTGGTTGAATATTATTGGACAGAAAATTCCCAAAATGCTTCCCAAAAATGCTTTCTTTGCCTACTGTACTCCTTCCCCTTTTTAATTTCTTATGAATCCCCACGCATCTACATCTCTTTCCCACTCGGTGGTGAGAATGTGCGAAATGACAGAGGCGTCATCACCACCCCTGTTCTAGCCTTGAATAGGATTGATGATTCCAGCAATGGAGGAATTGTTCCCCTTGTTACCAATGTTCTGCCTAAAGGGACTCTAAATGCTACTCTCCCCACAACTACTGATGACTTAGTTGTGGAAACCCCTCAAAACCAGGAAAACCTAGTGACAATTGCTGGTTCTTGGAGTCAAGTTGTTAGGCATGGCAAGAATTCTACTTACCAACCACAAATGGGAAAGTCTTTCCCAAAGATGAAGCTGCAGTATTTTGAGCCCACCAAGGACAATGAACACATTGTGGTTAAACCGCCCAAGGAAGTGGTAAACAGGGGATGCCTTGAATGGGAGACATCCTTGGTATGGTATTTTATTGAGCAAAAAGCTTCCGTAGTCGATGGTTAATTATATTGCCCATAGGATATGGGACAAAATGGGGCTTCTCGGAGTTCCTGCTGATGAAAAAGGGTTCTTTTTCTTCAAATTTATAGATGATATCTCCAAAACTAAGGTTTTCAAAGACGGTCCATGGCTTTTCTCAGGTAGGCCACTTATCCTCAGGAAATGGAATGCTGATCTCATCCTCTCCAAAGAGGATCAATCTGTGATACTTCTATAGGTTAAGCTGCACGATGTTCCTCTGTAATTCTGGAGTGATGATGGCATTAGTTACATTACTAGTGCAGTTAGCCATTGCATGCTGATTCTCTTACTGCTAATAAGAAGAGAATATCCTTTGCTAGAGTTTGTGTTGAAGTTAAGGCTAATACCAAGCTTGTGGAGTCTTTTGACCTACAACTGGATGTTGATGGTGGAAATTATGGTGGAAAAGCAATGGAAACCTGAAGTCTATTGTTCATGCAATATCTTTGGGCACAATGAGCCTAGCGACCCTAGAATGAAATTCAACAACGAAGGAATTTCTAAGGTTTTTTCGCAGCATAAATCTAAAGGAGATAAAGGAACGGAAATAGGTGAAATATATGCCTTGAATGGGTCAAGTTTGATGAGAGACCAAACTGAAGCTCTAACAACCTCCAAGCTGCTGAATTCTCTGGTTCTCCCTCCTCTTTTGCTATCCCAGCTAATGGAACCTTGTCTACCATTCTATAAGACAATCAGGTAACTTTTATGAACATTTATACCCCCCACTTGCTGATAGCAATGCCATTATGTTACCCTCACTTAACAAATTCTCTGTCCTTGAAATGGAAGTGAGGAAATTAATTGTTGAACTCCCACCTAACACCTCTTCCAACTATGGCAAGCATATGGATGATAGCCATGTGATTAAAGTTGTTGATATTGAATGAAAAATACTACAAAACATTAAAAAGAAGAAAGGCTAGAAAATGCTTCTGAAAAGAACAAAATTATGGGTTTTGAGCACCTTAAGCTCAGCAAATCTCTTTGGCAATGATCAAAGCTACAAGCTAGAACATTAGAGGGCTCAACAATGCCTCTACGCAAGAAGAAATAAGGAATTTTATTAATTGTAATCAACTGGACTTTATTGGGATTTTGGAAACAAGAGTAAGACAAATTAATAAGGCTTTCATTATGAGGCAAGTATTCAGGACTGGAGTTATGTTGATAACTATAATTGCCATACTTTGGGAAGAATTTGGGTAGCTTGGAATCCAAATAGCCTACATATCAGCAAAATTTTTGAGACCGATCAGATTTTTCATTTTCATGTGCAACATCTTGATAATAAATTGTCTTTTTTCATCTCTATTGTTTATGCATCTAATGAGGAACATGATAAGAAGGATTTATGGAGGAACATCAAATATCATGCAGGTGTCTTTTGTTTTGAACCGTGGCTAATTCTTGGTGACTTTGACACTATCACGCCCCAAATTTCACAAAAGCATGACAAAAAAAATCACTTTGCTTATTCCAAACACATATGCCGGTTTGTTATAAAAACATTTAGACAAGTATCTCTTTAGTTTAAATAAATAATTTTTTTTTTTAGAAAATTTCGGTAGAGTTTTCTTTGAAAATCGGACATCCAGACAATTGGTGAGAGCTACCTGTGAGAGCGTTAAACATAATAATTATATCTAACTAATCATTCACACCATATCAATCATATACATCCCTTATCATGATATCCATAAATAAGTCATTACCGTTCAATACCGGGGTGGCAAATGGAGGCCTACGAAGTCCTCCCAAACCCGGATTATAATCTAATTATCCAAAATTCTTCGTCATGAACATAAGATATAAAATATCTAAAATCTTTATAAGAAAACCATTTAAAAAGTCTCAATCTATACATATTCCCTCAAATTAACCAAGATATAAATCATTTACAAATCCTCAATAACATACATCATCCTACATTGTTCTTTACATACTCTAACTAAATTATAACATCTTCTGTCTCGATACTCCCACTATGCAGTCTACTAACATATACCCACAACTGAAAATGTTAAATGATGGGGGTGAGCAACCACACGCTCAGTAGGATAATCATTTTCTCAAGCATAGACAAGATTTTAAATACCAATAGTTCACAATCATATTGATAGGCAAATAAATAATTTATCAATAGGTGTACACGATAAGTAGTAAGCATTTTTGAAAGTACATTACATACTATCATTTGAAATATATTAGTGAAACATCAAGAAATTTACCACATCGAAATCAAATCTCAAAATAACACTATAAAACCTCTCTTCTTAAAACATAATGCAAAATCATTGATTTTATAAAGTACAAACTAATAAATCTTTATACAAATCTGGTAAAGTAATCATTCCTTATTTTGAACACAATTTCATAAACTTGTTCTTTCCAGAGTATTTTTTCAAAAATATTAACTCCTCGTACTTTCGCCTCAACCTCACCTTGCCTCACTCCACTCAGGAAGTTTGTTGGAATATTAGTATATTGGTTTCTTGGCATCCAAAATCCATGTATGCTACCCATACAGATAGATATCATCAACAAACACCAGTTTACAAATGAACCATCCCCAGAGAATCTTTTGTGTCCTGTACCCTAGGGTCTCATCGCCCTTTTTGCTTTTCAGGAAGGATGTGTAGGGCACAATTTGTGATGCCACACAGGCTGTCACCAAAAATCACTACCATCACCATTCCCCCCTAGGACTAGTAGTCGCCTTGGTAACCCTCCCCTCAAGGGCTCAATCGTCTACTAACCCTCTGCCTGTCGGTACCAAGTATACAAGTTTCAAACCATAATTTCATGATCACCTTCCATTCTTAACACCGACCACAACTTCGACACTTTCAAAAAATACATAGTAAATCTCACATTTCTATTTCCAACATAACACATTCTCAAAATAACTCACATGTACACCAAAAATACAATTTGTACCCTTTTATAACAAATTTTGTAAATTAAATGATTGAGAAGTTATATAGATCAACACCACCATTTTCATACTTTAAAATAACTTAACAATACCCCAAATCATGGTAAAATATACTTACTCATATCAAAAAAATTCATACCTCTTCCCATAATTTATCATTTTAATACTTATAGTCACTTTGACATTATATCAAACACATGATAGGCATAAAATTTTCAAATACACTTTTACAAAGGAACATACTCATTCTTAAGAGACAGATCAAATACATTAAATACAAAATCACATATATTCTAAAGAATCCAAAATCTAAAGTTCAATCAAACACCTATAACAAAAAATCAAGTTAGGGTTTCAAACCCACAATACCCAAATTCATTTAGTTCATGTAGGTTTACAAAATCATAGTAAACTTATCATTTAGTTAAGAAACATAGCATGTATTTAGCTCATACTAAACAAATAGATATAGAACATACATGAGATGTATCAATGTATATGCAAGAGAAAGGAAAACTCTACCTCAAAACTCAAGAATCCAAGCAATATTCTTAGATTTTCAAACAAAAACCCAAGCTCGAAAGACCTTCTTCTTCCCTTTTCTTTTTTCCTTTATCTTCTCCTAGGATTCTAAGAGATATTGGGTGAGAGTGGAATGAAATAATGAGAGAAATTAGAATGAAATTGGAGTTTTAAACCTAGCAATCCCCAATTTTACTGTTCATAGGGCCAAAAATTGTATTTTTCTCCGATATTACGATTTTGCCACTAAATATCTTCAATTTGATCTCTATGACTAACATAAGGTTTTTAGGCGTTCCAGATTTATTTTTAATGTTTTTTTAAACTAAAAATATTTATTATTATGATTTATCTCAAAATCAAAGTCAATTTACACCTGAAACCCCAAAGTTACCATTTTACCCCCTCCGAATCGCTATGTGCTAAATGTATATTCCAAGATTTTTGAACCTCCCAGATTCAATCGTAATGTTATTTTGACCTAAAAAAATTAATATATTTACTTATTTACCCTTATCAACCTTAAACAGCTTAAAAATTAAATTTAACCCAAAAGTTAATACGCATGTAGCTCAAACTTATGCGACCATTCAATTAACAACGATTAGAAATTTCTTTCATCATTTTAAAAATACTATCAAGTTAATACCATTTATATTTATATGAAATACGGGATCTCACAGACACCATCAGAAGTGTCAATGAAACTAATGGTTGCTCAAGGAGATGGACCAATTCAATGGAAGACTTTGACACCTGTTTGCAAGAATCTAAACTTGTTGATCTGAGATACTCTGGGTTTCAATTTACTTGGTCAAATATGAGAGTTATGGGAAACAGGATTTCAAGGAAACTTGATAGAGCTCTCGCCAATGAAGCTTGGAACAATATGATCTAGCAGTCAAGTGCAAAATTTTTAGCACTTGGAGTTTTTGATCATAAACCAATTGTGGTCAAAATTGGGGAGGAAATCATAAAGAGGGAAACTCCTTTCAAATTTTTTAACTACTTGGCAGATAGAACTGACTTTCTTGAGATGGTCAATCAAGCCTGGGGTGTTTGGGATAATGGTTCATATTAATTCCAATTATGTTGCAAGAAAAAGAGATTAAAGGCAATAATTAAAGGAAAAAGTAAAGAACTAGGGGAAACAATTGTTAGGGCCAATGAAGTCAAATATGCCCTTGAAATTTGCCAAGCCAAACTAGATGTCAGTCAAATTGATCCTAATTTGAGATTGGAAGAGAGACACCTCCTTTCTAAATACCTTGATGCTGCTAGGAATGAAGAGATTGTCATGAAACAAAAATCTAGGATAATGGTTGAAAGAAAGGGATCTAAATACCTCATTTTTCCTTAAATCTATGGTTGACAAGCAGAACAGAAAGAAGATTATATCCTTGAAAAGAATGGATGGCTCAACTGATGAAGGTGTATAGGAGGTCAAAGATGAGGCAATTGGTTTTTTCCAAAGGCTCTTGGGCTCAACTGGCTTTTCTTATTCATCTAATGAAAGAAGAGAAATGCTTTTTGAGATAGTAGAAAAAAGACTTACTCTCCTATAGAGCATGAATGAACGATTGATTCGTGGGAAGCTAGGGGTAAGATTGGTGAGTATCTAAGCATAAACCGTGACTAGGCCTACGGAATATCAAAGACTCACCAAGTTATCCACCCTCAATCCAGTCAAACTGAACCATTGAACTCTGAAAGAGGGGAGGAGAATGAGTTGAAATGGTATACCCAAGTGGAGGTTCCTCTTGGTTTTGCCAACTAAGAGATTTAGCTATTCATGCTTAAAATAAAGACAACAATATGATGAGAAGACATTATGAAAACATAAAGACTAAAGCTAAGCATAAGCGAATTGCATAAATTTAACTTTCGGATAACCACCTCTTACTAAAGATTGGATGAGAAACTACTCACTCTTCATGGCTTTGTTAAAACTAGAAAAGTGAGTGATGCTCATTCTTCCAAGTAGAGAAGTTACAAGGTAACACATTTTACACAAGGAGCCGATCTTCGACAAAGAATGAGTGAATCACATTCCACCCTTCAGAGCTTTGGTAAAGCTCTAAAAAAGTGGAAGAGTTTCACTCCTCTAAGGGAAGAAGGAAGCTAAAGCAATGGAAGTAAAAGAGCAATAACACAATAAAAGAAAGCAATATTTAAAGTAAAAGAAAGCAATAAATTAAAAGGAAGCAAGAATACAATAAAAGAAAACAATACTTAAATA